GATGTGTTGGGGTGTGCAGGAGTGCACGAGAGGCACCATACTGGTTGGGGAGAGAATGTGAGGGTGTGTGGTGGGCTGGGGAGGGTATGCGAGGTGCAACGTGGGTCAGGGAGGATGTGTGGGGGTGCAGTGTGGGCCGGGGAGGGTGCATGAGTAGCTGGCGTGGCACGAGCGCAGAGGGGCTGGGGAGGGTATGCGAGGTGCAACGTGGGTCAGGGAGGATGTGTGGGGGTGCAGTGTGGGCCGGGGAGGGTGCATGAGTAGCTGGCGTGGCACGAGCGCAGAGGGGCTGGGGAGGGTATGCGAGGTGCAACATGGGTCAGGGAGGATGTGTGGGGGTGCAGTGTGGGCCGGGGAGGGTGCATGAGTAGCTGGCGTGGCACGAGCGCAGAGAGGCTGGGGAGGGTGCACAGGTGGGGGAGACTTATCCCAGTGACTTGCAACCTTCCCTGCCTGCTTCCCCATTGACTTTCTGGGGAAGCCGGTAGGGAAGGTTGAAAATGAGGATCATGTGATTGCAGGGGGGCTTGGCAACCAGTCGTAAGTGCAAATGGGTTGCCAGGTGCCCAGACTGAGATCACATGACATTGGTGGTGCTGGGATGGCTGTAACTCTGAGGACCAGTCATAACTACCATCCGTTCAGCACTGTCATAACTTTGACCAGTTGCTGAATGAATGGTTGTAAATTGAGAACTACCTGTATCAACGTGTAACTCAAAACCCAGAGCAACAATTCCAAGAGAAGTTTTTAGCAATACCAACCCAGGAATAATTTCATATTAATCTTCATAATATTATCAATGCATGATAGTCTTGAAAAATAAACAGAACAGTTCATATTACTTGAGCTATAGTGGAGATCTGATTTTGGCCAAGTGGAGACTGTATATTAGCAGAATCACTCTCTGCAACAGAATCTGTTGCATTGCCATCTTGTGATTCACCTGTTTCCATGGTCATCTGTCTAAAGGCAAGAAAGAGAGAGAGAGAGAGAAAGAGAGAGAGAGAATAGGTAAGATAGGAAACAGTCCCATAACCCTTTTACTTCTGCTCATTTCTGCTTTTTATTTCAAATTCTGTTACATTAAACATATCACAACATTATAAATGTGCAAGAGCATTGTGGTGCATTTCCCAGCAGATGAAAATGCAAGAGTCAATTATTTCCATGGGTGTGTCCACTCCATTATAGCTAACTTGCCTCAACATGTTAAATTGAACTATAACAACCATAAATTTCAATTAGCACTGTTGATCATGACAGCTGTGGATTATGGGAGTCTCGATCAAGCATTTAGACAGAGACGTATGGGAGTTGCATCTATCACATCTGGAGGTTAAAGAAAGCTGGCTCAAACTTTGCAGAAAACTGAGGCTTTATTTTTTCCCCCAGAAGAAACATTTTCCAGTTGCAACGTTATAACTGAGACAGAGATACTATTCTTAGAGATGCAGTGCAATTTCAGCACATTTTATTGTTGCTCATTGAAGCATCTTCCATTTTAGTTTATGAAATAATTGTTTTGTTTTTTGCTGAGCTATTAAATCCCCTCTTTTGCTAAGTATTAAAAATTTCTTGCAGATTTTATACTACACATTTTTAAAGGTTTTTCACACCCAAGCATTCAACAAGACAGGCATTTTTTTAAAAGTTGGTATAATTGCAGAATTGCTCTTAAATATTGCACATGTAAATCAGTTGCATTTAGAATATTGTTGCCTGTGAGATCCTGTTATTGCTTTTTACTGTATTCATTGTATTAATGAACTATTTATGTTATGTTAGAAACAAATACAGAACTTTGGTGGCAAACATTTATTTCTGCAAGGATACAGATTACACAGGGAGCATGAGCCAATACAGAAGGTTTGGCTGAGAAATGAGAGTGTTTTTTTTATATATATACATATACATATATAAACTATAAAATATTTTCAACCAAAGAGATATGGAACCAAAAATAAAAGTGTCATTATTTCTTGGAATCAGGTAGAACCAACTGTGCACTAGAAAGTTTTGGCTCTTGCATAACCATATCCATTATATATTCTTATTTCTGTTTACATCCTATACTTGGCTTATACTCTTGCAATGTTTTATATTCCTTTCAAAGGTGGTTATACTTTTACATTTCCTAAAATTATAGAAAAATCACATTTTCAGTCCAATTTTAGAAAATAGCTAAGGTCCTATAATGGCAAAAATCACTGCAGAATGCTATAGTTAGCCACCAGCTAAAGGATATTTGGGTAGTTAATACTTTCAACCAGATAGAGATAAATTTCATCCACAAAAAATTAAGTGTTATCACATGTTATGATTCTGGGAACAGTATACATGCACAAGCCACCCAAGTGATAGGTATTCACTTAAGCTTTTGCAACAACAGAAGATGGTGGAATGTTGTTGTAAGCCATATTGTAAATCATTCCTCTTCTTTCTCAGGGTGGTCTTGATTCCAGTTCCTCTCACATATTAGGATTTCACTTGTGCTACATTTTTGTTAACAGCTGTTTGTAATATTTCACCCCACCCTTTTTAATATGGTTGAAGCTTACCTCCACATGTTACAAGTCAAATGTAGCATCTAACGCAGCCAAACTCCAGATGTGCTGGTCTTTTGACTCCCATAATTCCCAGTCAGCATAGTCAATTACTAAATTGGCTGTGGAGTTGTAGGAATTAACAACTTAGACATAAGGTTGTCTATAGTTTTACTGCTGTTTATATTCATGTGTCAATTTTGCATTCCTATTTTTCAAAATCTCAAGCATTCCCCATTGTTTTCAATCTATAAAAACTTTTTATTTGCATAAATTGCTTAATGCAATGCATGAGGCTCAATTGTATATCTGAAAAAATGCTCGGTATATTGCAGAAGCCATTTAATTCTTACATTCTACTAAAGAAACAGGCATGTCTGTTTGTGTAAGGCCTATACACTGAGATGCATTCCATTAGAGTGGTAACTTTTATGGCTTCTTTGTACCTGCAGAGCTAGATAGATTATGTAAATCTGTGCTGATGTAGTTTATTCAGCATTTCCCAGAAAATGATCCCAACTCTCAAGTAAAAGATTAAAAATTACTGTTTAAGTCCAAACATAATTTATTGCTGAAGCTGAGCCAAATTTAAAACAATGAACTTGATTTGACACATACACACGCATTCACACATACTTCTCTAAATAATGAGGTAGGTATCAAATGCTTGGCTGCATTCCCTTTATCGGAACTATTACTGTAACATAGGACACATGCCTGCCATGCAGAAGCATCTTCTAATGATAGCTGAAAGTATAACGGCTACCTTATGTTAATTCTGGCATGCTGTTTTTTGCTACATTTGCTCATGATTGAATTTTTTTAAAAAAGGACTTCTTCCTTCTCCAGACCACGCTCTTCTAGTGAATCTTGCAGTGAAGTTATGTTCCGTTTGTGATGTCATAACTATTGCTATGCCAACCTACATTTACAGTATTACAAACACAGTACTTAGGGTTCACCAGAGAATGGAAAAGAAGGATAGGAGTAAAGGAGAACATTGTTTTTACTGCTGTGCAAGAGATTTGATAAGTGTTATGGAACAGAACCACTCGAAATGAGGAGAAAAGAAAAAATTAAAGAACCCTAGCTATAGTTATGAATGCATCGTTTGAAGCACCTTTTGGGACATACATGCAATGCAACAAAGGTCATGTGACTCATAGATTACTTGAAATCCCTGTTTTAACAGTGGTTTGCAAGCTGTCTTCACCAAACCTTTTGGTATATCTGGTAAATAATGCATGCTCATCTGGCACAGGTGAGAAGGCACATGCACAGTTGATACAAACACATCGACAGGTCTGTTGGACTTCAGTGAAACCTGATGCTGATCTTAAATTCCAACATGTCCCTGAACAAATTTAGAAGTATTTTAACATGAAGAGGACCCTTAAACTTGGAAATGAACTATTATTGTGAAAAAATACACATTCCCCAATTGGGTAGAAAAAAACTTGCCAATAGAAATCTACATACAACTTTATCCTTTATAGAAATTATTGTCATACCAGAAAATAGAATGGGATTACATTAATTTATGATTCAATGAAACTGCTAAATTAAACATGGACAGTATTGCTAGTAAATAAAATATACTTTTACAATTAAATTTTATTCCAAAATATAGGTTTATTATTAGTTTTATTACTTTTCAGTGGCACAAGTTCTTTGGAATAGCCTTCCAATAGACATCCAGTTGGCTCCCACACTAACTGCCTTCTGGAAGCTGCTCAAAACACTACCTTGATTTGGTAGTTTGGTTTGGTTAATTTAGCTTTATTCTGTATTTTCATTAATCTGTGGACCTTTTATCTGCATGTTTTTGTATATTGTTCCTTACATCTCTTATCTGTAAACCACCTGTTAATAATAGTTACTAAATAGTTATGTTAGTTGCAACCATATATCCTGCAGCACAGGACTTTCATCTGCCTGTTGCAGGCAAAGAAAACTCTCTCTAATTTTCATCTTAGCTAAAAAATACTCTTCCATCAAGAGCTTCTGGATTTATAGATCCTGCATTTCAAAGAACCATGCTTCAGATCTTGATATTACAGGCATCCTTTCTTCTTCAGGTGACAGAGCTGTATCTTGGGCTAAGAAGCATAAAGATCTTCATAAACTACACAATCAAGGTATTTTTTCCAGTATACTGAGCTGCTTCATTTTGCATTCAAAAAATCCAATTAAAAAAACAGACTTACAAGATACTTCTCTCATTTTGTGTTTTCATTTTAACAGCTTAATTTTAGTGGACAAGGTATTTTATCATTTGCTAAATGCTCTAAGGTGCAGGAGATGAAAGCAGACCATGCCTTTGAATCTTACAGATATTTTGCCCCATATAAAAGCAAATACTGAAACACTGTTCTGGAAGAAGACACTTTTAATCACCTTGACTGAAACTCAAAATTATTACAAACGAGTTTCTAAATGAACAAAAGCCTTCCAAATCGTTTGCAATGAGGTTAGGTGGATCAATTATTGCATGTGGTATCTACAATTCATTTTTAGTCTTTGTTGGACTATCACACTTTTTTTTAACAGGGAAACCCTTCTAAATTATTTCAAGATCTGTACCCAAGCTAGTTACTCTTTTCACAACTTACTTCCTCCAGCCTTACTTCTCCATATTCTCCTGCATTCTTTGATAGTTGCTTCAGCTTATATGTGAAGCATTCATAGACCAATCCTAGGCAATCTGTTTTAGTTCAATGGAGCTTACTGCCAGAATTGGGTTCAGAATTTCAGAGAGTAGTTGGCAAGAAGTTAAATACATCAATCCAAACTATATCTGCAGCATTAACAAGAAGGGAACTGCATTGGGTTGTATTGCATCATTTCTTGAAAATAAAAACAAAACTTGCACAAAAAAGCACTAAGATATTAACCAACATGTTAATAAATGCTTTATTCTTCAGTTCAGTCCACTGCAGTACTCTCAACTGCAGGAATAGAGCATTTTTATGTCTTTCTTTTTTAAAGTAGTTTTAGGATTTCATCCTGAAAGCTACTGAGGCCATAGTGATAGTATTGTTTAAATCATGTTCTCTCCAATCCAAATCAAGTAATAGACATGCTGAGCGGAATATAGTGAGAACTACTGTCTAACACAACTGAAGGGTAGCAAGCTGAAACTAATTTGGGGCATCACACGGCATCTGGATTCTCACAACCCACTAGATTTGTGGCTTGCTGTATTGTGCAAGTCTAGCAACTGTGGTTAGTTTATGGTTCATCATGTATCGTGCAACTCAACAAACTGGGTATGTTAACAAAATACTGATACAATGAGTTAGTGTTTTGTGCATACACAGCCAACGCCTACTATCCCCAACTGGTGTTCTCCAAATGTGCTGGACCAGCTGGCTAGCAATTATTTCTTGGGATTTACTTCTCATCTTTTCCCATGGAATTCAAGGCAATATACATAGCACACCCTCTGCCAATTTATCACTGTAACAATCGCCCTGTGAGATAGGAGGGCTGGGAAAATAACTGGCCCAAATGCTCTCAATGAGCTTCCTTGGCAGGTACGGGCAGGGACCTGGGCCTCCCCACCATGGGCATGACACCCCCCAAGCAGCATACCAGCGGCAAAGAGCAAGAGCTTTGTCAGGACGGTGAGCATTCATTAGAGGATGCTAGGAATTGTTGACCACATGCTTGGAGGCCACTAGGCTAAGAACAAAGCCAAGTTTGCGCTGCTAAACCTATCCCGTGTTCACTGAATCCGCCTCACTGAACCCCCAAACAAATACCATATGAAAGTGCACTGTACTTTTTTAATACCCTGCCTGGAAAACTCACAGCCTCTAAGTGTGGGAATTGCCGCTGCAAATGGGCAGCGAACTCTACAAAGCTAAACTCAAGAGCGACGAAGAACCCCTCTGCACATGCGCAAATGCCCTCTCGCCTCGGCGAAGTTTACCCCCGCGAAGAGCGCCGCCGGTCGGATTAAGGCCCGGTACTAAGGCCCATCCCGACCACTGTTTCACCAGCCTCGCCTCTCCGCCCGCCCCTCCCTCGAGTCCTCGGCACCCCGGCCCCTCTCCGGCCCGAGAGCCACCCCTTCGCCGCTGCCTCCAAAGGCCAGGCCGCCTTGCGCACTCCCGACGTGTCTCCGCCCCCTCCTCGACTCACCCGAGTACGTGGCGCCCCCGTCACAGGGGAAAGCAGGCGGGGAAGAGGGATTGGGCCGGGCGAGGCCGCACGTCGCCTCACGTCAGTGCTGATGCCGATGCGCCGTCACCGCAGGGGGCGCTGAGGGAAATGGCGGCCGGCGCCGCGGCTGCACGGCTTCCCTGGGCCTGCGAGGGAGGAGGCAGGGTGGGGCTTG